GGGTTAGTATCTCCTTCAAACATTGCAAACAATGGATCAGAAAGACCTATTTGTGCGGAACTATTCAACAACGTGGCATATGTTCTATCGTCACCACCTGTAGCAATAAAATCAATATCTAAACTTCTTGATTTAAAAAATCCTAATCGTTGTGCTAAATACACCGGAAAATACAAAGCTAGTTGTTCAAACTCTGCAATAACAATTCTATGATTTGTAGAACTGTTTAGTTCATTTAAAACATCTTTTACAACAATACGCTCGTGCGCGTTTTCTAGTTTAGAATAACCAAACTCGTGAAACTTTTTTAAAAAATATCTTTCTTCAAGTGTTGTTATTTTGTATTTTTTTACCAAACTAACTAGTAGTTCAGTATCTTTTTTCTTTTTTATGATTTCAGTTAAGATGCCGTCTTGAGATTTAAAGTTATAACCTACAGACATACCTGCTCCGTTTGCAAATGGCATTTTATAACGCCAAGCAATATAATCCGGCAAGAAATTAGTAGCTACTTTTCTAAGAATATATTTTGTTGTGATTTTGTGATTTTCTTTGTTAATTTTATAAGTACCCGGAATATTAAAGGCATCTTTTATTACCTGGGTATCAAGTAACGGAGAACGTGTTTCTACCGTAAAACGCATAGCCCCTCTATCTACTCTTTTTAGATGTCCAGCACCTAAGTTTTCTGTAAGAATTTTACACCCCTTATTTATAAACTTGTCTGGTAAGGCAGAAAACTCATTATACCCTGCAAATAATTCATCAGCACCCTCTCCTACCAATACAATACTGAGTCCAAGTTTTTGAGCCTCTCGTGAACAAATCCAGTTTGCGAATGCATGGCGAATAACAAGTGGCTCATAAGTTTCTAAGTAATAAAGTAGCTCATCCATTTCTGCTTCATAGTCTATACTTGTTGAAACTGTGTGATATTTATACTTCCTTTCTTTACATAAACGCACCGCAAAATCATAGTCTGGAGATCCTGGATTACCTAAAATAATTGCTGTTACATCACTATGTAGTCTGTTAGCTATTTCCATAACTAAAGAACTATCCACTCCCCCGCTTAGCATAACACCTATTGGTAGATCAGTATCCACTCTCTTTTTTACAGCCTCTACAATACTTTTTTCAAGTTTTTTTTCAGCTTGCTCAATAGATATTTTTTGAGAACTTATATTTATGTCAAAATACTTTTTAAAAGTACCGTTAAAAAAGTAAGATCCTTGAGGAAACTCGCTAACTTTTTCTACACCCTCAATACTTACTAACTGCTTAAGTTCTGACGCAAACAATAACTCACCTTGTTCTGTCTCTGCATAGTAAAAAGGTTTTACACCGAGCGGGTCCCGTGCAGCAAAAATATCACCCGTGAGAGTATTATAAATAATAAATGCAAACATTTCAGAATCAAGTCTATTCACCATTTCAGCTCCCCACTGTTCATAGGCATGTACAAGTACCTCCGTGTCAGAATCCGTATAAAAGACATGTCCGAAATCTTCTAGCTCTATACGTAACTCTTTATGGTTAAAAATTTCTCCATTTTGAATTGCATACAAAGTCTTGTCTTCATTATGAATAGGCTGCTTTCCAGAAAGTCTACCAACAATAGGTAACCTGTTAGTTCCCATACTCCCTAAATTGAAATTTTCCACTTCAAAAATACCCCCTCCTCTATGTTGTATTTTTTCAAGGGATTTTAAGGTTTTTTCTTTTGATTGTTTTGAATTAAAAACAGCAGTTATTCCACACATATAAATACATTATATCATAGTTTATTTAAATTACTCATCAATACAGTCACCCTAAAACATACAAGAGACTTTTAAATAAAACAAAATCCGCACATGGCGGGTTTTGTTTTATTTAAAATTCCTCTCGCAAAACTCGTTGATTTCCTCTGGTGAGAGTACTCGATCCATCACTCCACGAAATATTTGCTCCTGAGTACTGATATCCCAAGACTTTTCTGGTCCGCCAGATTGCGGGTTTTGGTTCCATTTTTTATACAGATTACTTGCCTGTTCTATGGGCAGGGTTACCAATACAATATCGTCAATCTGATCTCCAAGATGTTTCTTTGCGTTATTAATCTGTTTTTCCTTATGTTCTGTTTTATCAGTATTCATCGTAAACTGTATACCAATATCTGCCCTGGTTTCTGACTCCTCTACACGAGCTCCACGGACTTTTTCAAAATTTTTCCTGTGGATAATAAAGTCAATCTTTTGTTCAACATCCTGATACACATCGGCATCTACAATTTCAAAGTCAGCATCTGTTTCTATGGCGAGCTTCTTGAGAAAGTTTTTTACCATTTTCTCGGCAATTACTCCTCCTTGCTCGCTCCCATGTTCCATACGCTCACCAATTGCTCGATACGCGTTTTGCTTGAATGTATCCGTGCGAGTGTTGGATGTTTCAGAGATAATTATTTGAGTATCTAATTTTTCTCGCAAGTCACCTTTCAGCTGCTCCAGATAATATTTACGGATGTCATGGATATTTAGGGAATCATCAAACGTATACTGCAGTCCCCATTCGCCATCGGTCATGACCTCTACCAGATTAATCTCTGAACTCTTACCCTCTACAGAGGTGACAATAAACTGTCCATCACGAAACGAAACAGTCGGAACTGACTTTGCAAGTTCTGGATTCATAACTGCATGTTTAAATCCTCCATCAGCTGATCGAGTTTCTCGCATAAACTTAACAAACTTATTTAATTTTTCAAGTTTTGATTTTTGGATATTATAAATCTGCTGCTCTGCCTCTGCTGTGGTATGTGCAAGCTCTGCAATATTACCAGTAAGGTTTTCACGAATATTTTTAGATAACTCTTTTTCTTCACGTCCAAAACCACGCTCTTTTTCTTGCTTGATCGCTTCGGTGTATTTTTCTAAGTTATTTTTAAAGTTGAATTTCATGATTTTATTATACAAATTACTTTACAAGTACGCAACAACAGGGGCGGCACCGTAGGTGCCGCCCCTGTTGTTTATATTATCTGATAGTAATACTATCCGTGATGATGTGCCGCCTCAGCTGCATCAGCCTCTGCTTTATCTTTGTGGATAGTTCCCACAGGGTGCTCTGCTGGAGTATAGATACTGTAGAGTTTCATTGGAATTTCACCAGTGTTGGTAACATTGTGATTCATCCCTGCTGGGATGATAATAGCAAAGTCATCCTCTACTGCGTACTCTGTTTCTCCGACAAGTGCCACACCCGTCCCCTGCTCGATACGGAGGAATTGGTCAGTAGTGTCATGCACCTCAGCTCCGATATCCTCACCTGGGAGCAGTGACATCACGGTCATCTGTAGGTGCTGCCCGGTGAATACCTCCTTGCGGAAATAGTCGTTTGATAAAGTTTCGTTTTCAATGTTGTTTACGTATGGATTGATCATAAAATTAAATATAAATTAAGTAAGTAATAAAACTATTGCTACTATTATAGCAGAAATACCAAATATAGAAACAAAGGTGATGAACATGACTTTCATGCTCATCCTATACGAAGCTTTCATGGTGTAATCAATAAGCTCCTTTCTCTCATCGAGGGTAAGTGTATTTAATTCTTGTTTATCGATATTTAGTGGTGTAGTCATACTATTATTTACTCAATTATTATTTCTGTTAATAGATATATTGTATCATACTTGCATAAATACTAAAAACCTTCCCAATATCCTTAAAATAAGGTAGTATGTGCAGATTATGGCAAAAGATGAAATTATCGTACGTTTTGACGAGGTATCGTTCGAACACAATGCAAACAAACCTATTTTAACTGAGGCGAGTTTTTCTATACGCCGAGGATTGAAAATCACCCTTATGGGACAAAACGGTGCTGGCAAGAGTACACTATTCGGACTCCTGACTGGAACTACCAAGCCAACCGATGGATCAATTAACATCGTCCGTGGTGTTCGTGTGGCACTGTCTCGTCAGATCATCCCTCGTGATGAGCTAACATTGACCGTGCGAGAATTTTTCCAAAAATGTTTTAGTGAAAAAGTCTACGATATCGATCCACGTATTGATGAAGTCCTCGAAATTGTTGCGCTCACTATTACTCCATCTGAGGGTGGTACTATTTATGACCGAGTGATGAGTAGTTTCTCTGGAGGACAACAGGCGCGCCTGCTCCTGGCATCAGCACTCATACAAAAGCCTGACTTGTTACTACTTGATGAGCCGACCAACAACTTGGACCATGCTGGAGTGGATCATCTCATAAACTTTATCAGAGGGTATAAAAACACCGTAGTGGTTATTTCCCACGATGCAGAATTCTTGAACAGCTTTACCGATGGCGTACTGTATCTGGATGTGTTTACGCGTAAAATTGAACAATATGTCGGTAACTACTATGATGTACTGAAACAAGTAACCGCGCGAGTAGAGCGTGAAAACATGAAAAACGCACAACTGCAAAAAGAAATCCTCGCCAAAAAAGAAAAAGCTAACAAGTTTGCCTACAAGGGTGGGCAGATGCGTCTGGTCGCGAAACAAATGCGTGAAAAAGCAGAAGAGCTCGAAGACGATTTGGTAGATGTCCGTAAAGAAGACAAAACCATCAGGAAATTTATCATCCCTATCCAGCCAGATCTCACGGGACCAGTCATCACCATCGATGAGTTTACCGTGATGAAAGCTGGAAAAATTACTACAAAGAAAAAACATCTCGTACTCAAGAGAAACCAACACCTGCAACTGGTAGGACCTAACGGTATCGGTAAAACCACCCTGCTCGAAACACTTGCTCGTGGAGAGAGTGATGGAGTTAAAATCCATGATGGCGTGCGTGTGGGGTATTATCGTCAAGACTTTTCAACACTTAATTTCGAACACACGGTGTACGAATCCCTTATGGATGCACTGCGCAGCATCGGAGCGAAACTAGATGAGGAGTTTATGCGCGCAACTGCGGCGACATTCCTCATCACCGGTGAATTAATTCGTACCAAAATCGGTCACTTGTCAGAGGGGCAAAAGGGTCTTGTGGCCTTTGCCAGACTGGTACTGCTGCAGCCAGGACTGCTCATCCTGGATGAACCAACGAACCATATCAATTTTCGCCACTTGCCCGTTATTGCAAAGGCACTAGATCAATACCAGGGCGCAATGATCCTGGTATCCCATGTACCAGAGTTCGTATCACAGATTAGAATTGATGAAGTGCTGGATTTGGGGAAATAGTATGCTATACTAACCACATTACCAAGTAATACTTATTTCACACTTATGGCAAAAGGAAACAACAGTCAAAAGAAAGACGTAAAAAAACCAAAGAAAGCTGCTGTTAAAAAATAACCCCGCATTGCGTGGTTATTTTTTATTATTTAATCCCTCCTCAAAAACAATGGTGTTTCTGGTTTAGACTTGGTAGTAATTAAATGAATAATTTTATCTGCTGTGTTTGGGATAAACGGCTTCAGGAGTACGGCTACCTCGGCGAGGTGTTTTACCACGTACTGTAAATCAGCATGTGCTCGCCCGGGGTCAGTTTTTACCATCGTAAATGGTTTCGTATCTGCGATAAATTTATCCAGGTCACTGATTTTATTCCAGACATATTCTGTGGCGCGATTGAGCTCTCGAGATTCAAAATGCTGTGCGTATCCGCTTGAAACCTCATTGAAATCAGGAATACTGATACCAGAAATATCTACATCGTAACTCACCACCATGTTCATGGTGCGTGATACCAGGTTCCCCAGACCGTTTGCGAGTGACGCATTATACACCTCATGGAAACGTTCCATATAAAACGGACTATCCTCGAACATTGATACGCCACCGACAACATAATATCGTAGTGCATCTGTTCCATAATCGCGCACTACATCATATGGATTTATTACGTTACCAATTGACTTAGACATTTTTATACCTCCTTCACCAGTAAAAAAACCATTTACGATAATCTGATGACTGTTTGGTAATTCTGCTGCCATGAGCATTGCTTGCCACATTGCTGACTGTTGACGCAGATTGTCCTTGCCACAATACTGAATAGGGTTTCCGTTTACCCAGAATTTTTCAAAATTATCTGATGTGTTACCATCCCAACCAAGTGTTGAGATATAGTTTACCAGTGCATCGAACCATACATACATTACCTGAGACTCGTCATCTGGAACAGGAATCCCCCATGGCATTTTAGATGCTAATCGTGAAATAGAAAAGTCCTGTAGTCCACGCCCTATAAATGATTTTATTTCATTTAATCTAAAATCAGGTAAAACAAATTGTGGATTTTTTTCATAGAGGTCAAGGAGTCTTTCTTGAAAAGCAGAAAATTTAAAGAAATAGTTTTCTTCATCGATTAATTGTAATTCATATGTTGGATGAATTGGACACTGTCCATCAACGAGTTCCGAATCAGTCTTTTCAAGCTCACAACCGATACAATATTTTACTTGATATTGCTTTTTATAAATATATCCATTTTTACTTACTAATTTCCAAAACTCTTGCGCTGCGTGCTCGTGATGTGAATCTGTAGTACGGACAAAATGTACATCGCTGTGTATATCTAAAATATCTTTAAGCCCTCTAAACTGCGTAGCGTATTCATCTACGTATTCTTTTACATCTTTACCTGCTTTTTCTGCATCTGCAAGGAGTTTTTGCCCGTGCTCATCAGTACCTGTATTAAAAAATACTTCATGTCCAAGTAAGGTGTAGTAACGTGCCAATATATCAGCACGGACGATTTCCATAGCAAAACCAACATGCGGATCTGCGTTTACGTACGGGAGGGTTGTAGTGATGTATTGTGGTGATTTGTTCATACTAGGACTATATCATAAACAAGATAACAAAAAAAGCGACACGGGTCGCTTTATAGGGAAGTAAAAAAAAGTCTATTTACCACATTCTCCATATATACTGCAGAAAATAATTGCCGCAGCTAATACAAGAGCCATGAAGATTACACCCTTTGCAGATAAAATCGTCTCTCTGCCCTGTTTTATTCTGTCTTGTATCTGTTCTTTTTTCATATTTAATTGAATTAAAGGTTACTAGGTACATTATATCATATATATAAACAAAATCAAGTATTTTGAATACGTTAAAAAATAAGGTATATTCTATATATGTCACAGTCTACTCTCCTGGATATTATCAATAACACTTCTGGTACCTATACAGGAGATTTGCGATATTATTTTAAAGTTATTTTTAATGCTCCCAATAGTACGTTACCCTATCACAATTTTAGACATACGTGTCATGTTCTCTACTCTACGCATGAGGCAATTATGTATTACGGGGATTTCGACCTGCGAAGTGCTCGTAGTCTACTCATCGCTGCAATGTTTCATGACTATGGTCACACCGGTAAACCAGACATTAAAGATTCAGAAAATATTTTACTCGCAATAGATGGGCTCCGGCAACACATACTCGACGAAGATACAAACTCTTTAGAAGAAATTATTACACTTATAGAGTCTACAGAGTACCCACACAAGGAAATACAAATAAACCGCTCGATGGAAATATTGCGTGATGCTGACCAATCACAAACATTTGATACTGTATGGATACAGCAAATCATCTTTGGCCTCTCACAAGAAAAAGGTACTTCACCTATTGAGCTCTTAAAGAAACAAATACCGTATATACAGTCAGTCGAAATGTTAAGTGACTGGGGTAAAGAGACATTTCATCCTAAAAAAGAACATTTTATTAATCAAGTAGAAAAGTATTTGGAAATACTCTCATAAAACAAAAGCAAAAATACAAAGTATTTTTGCTTTTGTTTTACTTGTCCCCTATCAAATCCATAATCACAATAGCACATGGTATCGATACGAGTACCCCAAGGATCCCACCCAGCAGTCCCCATGCAATCACTGAGATAATCATCACAACGATCGGTATACCCACCGTACGACGGATCACCAATGGCTGGATGAAGTATATTTCAATATAGTGGATAATAATAAATCCGATAATCACCCAAAACATCATCCCAAATCCTCCACTAATAAATCCAATAAGTGCCGCAGGAAGTGTCCCGATCAGTGTCCCAAAAGGGATCAGATCAAACACTGCCGCAACAATAGCCAGTATCAGTGCATACGGTACCTGCATGATACTGAGCAATCCATACGTGAGCAGTCCCACGATAAACGCTGCAAATACCTGTCCCATAAACCAGTCACCTATTTTTTTCTCAACACGTTGCCAAGTTGCAACTACTGTATCCTCATACTGTTTTGGAGTGACTACGCGGAGGAATTCATCAAACCCTTTTTCAGTAATTGCAAAATAAAATGATAGTACGAGGATAATTGACGCATCGAGGAGTCCTTGGGCGATATTGACGACACCAGCACCTGAGATGCTCTGCCAGATACTCTGTATACCAATAAAAGGATTATCGCTACCCGTAAAACGCTGAAGCGTAGTCTCGGTAAATCCACTACGGTTCAGCGAGGTAAATCCGCGTGCCAAGTCTGAGCCTTTGGGGAATAGTTTTATGAGTTCATTAAACTCATTAGAAAATACTGGAACCAGGAGTGCTACTGTACCTATAAGTACCCCAAGTCCTACAAGGAATAAAAACGGCACTGAGACATATCGTGGTATACGGATTTTTCTCAACTTTAAAACTGCTGGCTCAACGAACGATGCTACTACGAGCGATACTAATACTACTAGGATAAAGTGTCGCAGGTAAAAAGCGGTTGCCACTCCCACAATAATACCCAATATTAAAAAAAGTGTTTTTGGTGCTATTTCACTACGTGTATTCATGGGGGTAGTATAACAGAAAAATAAAAGACTTCCAAAAAAAGGAAGTCTCTAAAGAGGTATTTAATTTTACCATTCAGACCGACGAAAGCAATTGTTTCGTCCATCTGAGAAATTGACAAACATAATTAACTTAAGTTGTCCCGTCACGACGTAGTCGTTCTGAGTAGTAACTCCTCTGGCACTACCTGCCAAACTTGTTTGACCTATGGATCTATCCGCCAACTGATAGTTAATAGGATTAGGTCCATACTGTTTTGTAAAATCAGCTGGATTAGCATAATATCCACCAACATCATCCAGGTAATCTGTAAATGTTTGGCAAGCTGTCAGACTCGCATCAATTGCGAACTTTCTGTTAGGTAGCGTGATTTTTATTCCAGTAGTTACTGGAACCGACAAAGCAACACGACTATATTTTGCTGTATAGCCTGGCATACCTTGTCCCTCAGTACCGAGCGGTTGGAGCTCATACTCTTTACCACCAAGTGTTGTAGTGGGATTAAAAGTAAACACCCCAAGTCCGATACCTACGTACGGAGAATAGTGCCATCCGCTATTCTCAAACCAAAAGTTTTCATCTCGCAAGGGCTCATACTGAATACCTATAGAAAAATGATTTACCTTTGTCCTGAAATTGAGATTCCTACGGAAGTTCTCAATACCATCCGGATGATCATTTTTACCAATATTATTTTTGTCATCTGCAGATAGTTGCAGATGACAAAAATCGACACCCATAGTAAAATATTTTTCAAAGTAATATTTATACCCAACAGATCCAGATGGGTCATACCCAGCAATCTGAACCCCTTCCGTAAAGAGTCGTAAGAGTCCTGGTGCATTAGTTCGGTTTAACTCACCAAGATAGTAAGAAAATCCTGCGCCAACAGACACAGTATGTGCTTGTGATATTACTACCAAAGGAGTCAACATCACAAGTAAAGATATAAAATTTTTTTTCATGTGTTTTATTTTTTTAAAAGTTTGGTTAACATGTTATCATGCAACATATATGTTGTCAAGTGATTTTTTAGGAAAAATCATTATACTGCATACATGAAAATCCCGACTATTATCCAAGAGCCCCATAAAACACTCCGTAGTAACGCTGAAAAAGTAGACTTCTCAAAAGTCTCACCAGTAGAGCTGGAGAAGGTCGTCAACGATATGCGTATTGCCATGTATGACGCCGGTGATGGTGTGGCTATTGCAGCTCCTCAGATCGATGTGCCGCTGCAGATATTTATGGTGGCAGGATTTGTGTTCGACCAGCGTGCTAAATACCAAGGTGACCACGGCAGTCCTGATCGAGTATTTATAAATCCGGAAATCATCAAGCAGTCTAAAACAACTAAAAAGTGTCCCGGTGAAGGATGTCTGTCAGTACGATTTACCTATGGTACGACTAAACGCTCCACCGCTGTTACGATAAAGGCTCACGATGAAACCGGTGTAGAATTTAAAGTAGAAGCTACGGGATTTCTGGCACAGATATTCCAACACGAGATTGATCACTTGCATGGTATCCTGTTTATTGATCATGCACATGACATAAAACTCTTGGAGGGAGAGGAGCGAGAAAACTATGAAAAAGAATTAGAGCAAATAAAACAGTCGCGAAACAAATAGGAGACAAAATGCTGAGCATTTTGTCTCCTATTTGTCATACCGGACTACGATCCGGTATCCAGGGGAATACCTACATAAAGTAATCTCATTTACTTTATGTAGCATAACCTTTATCTGACATGACAAAGATGCAATTCATTGGTATTTTTGTTATAGTGTTTTTATGAAATCTATCCCTTTTATATTTTTTGGTACTCCTAATGTCGCATCAGAGACTTTGGAGATTATGTATCAGAAAGGACTTGTTCCAAGTCTCATCATCACCGCACCTGACCGACCATCTGGACGTGGTATGCGCATGACTCCACCACCGGTCAAAGAATTTGCAGTCGCGCACGACATACCGTACCTACAACCAGAAAAGATTACCGCGGAAGTACTTGAGGAGATTGAAAAGTTTGTACACGAGCATGATATTAAAATATTTATTGTCGTAGCATACGGTAAAATCCTCCCTGAAAAATTAATTACTATTCCTGAATACGGGACCTACAACATCCACTATTCCCTCCTGCCACGCCACCGCGGTGCAAGCCCTGTAGAGGCCAGTATCCTCGCAGGAGACCAGGTAACCGGTGTATGTATCCAGCGTATGATATATGAGCTCGATGCAGGAAATATTGTAGTAAGTGCAGAATTAAATATTGATGATCAGGACACTACGGGTTCATTGCGTAGTAAACTCATCCCTCTGGGGGCACAGCTCCTCTGTGACATATACAACCAGTTGCCAGGTATTGGTAACAGTGGAATAAAGCAAAATACCTCAAATATTACCAAGTGTGGTAAAATTACTAAACTCGATCGATGTATTGATATCTCTGATGCCAGTACCGATAATCAAATCCTCATGTGGCGCAAGTATCGTGCCTATGATGCACATGGAGGAGTATACTTTATACATGGAGAAACAAGTGTAAAAGTAAAATTAGCAAAATTCCAAAGTAACAAGTTTATCATCCAGCGCGTGGTGTATCCAGGCAAACCAGAGCAAAACTTTTAAACATAAAAACTCTTTCATGATGAAAGAGTTTTTATGTTATTTTTTGTTAAATTTCTTTTTATAAATTTTCCAGAATATCCATACTACAAAGATAGTAATAACTATTATGCCGACTTGCTCCAATATATTAGAGATATTTTTAAGTGACGAAACCCATTCAGTAAATAACCATCCCGCAATACCAAACACTGTTGCTCGTAATACCACTCCAATAAGGGTCGTGATGATATATTTAGCCAGCGACATCTGAACTATTCCAGCATACACAGCTAAAGCAATAGAAGGTATCACAGGAAAAGCTCGTGCCGATATGAACAAAACTTCATCCCAACGATTATTTTCCATTTTTTTAGCAATAGTATTAATATCTGAGTTATGTATACCAATGTATCTCCCCCATCGACTAATGAATGCTTTACCATACCTACGCGAAAGATACATATAAGGCAGAGAACCAATCATAACCCCAAACGATGCAGGGATAACAACCGTGGTAAACAGTCGAACCAGCGAAGCAAAAGACCAGCTATAACCAGACATCATAAAGGCACCTGAGGCGGTTTGCACAGCGGCTGAAGGGATAACTGATATAAGCTCCTCTGCAAGTGACGCACCGAAAACACCCACGGCGCCCGCAGAGATTATCCAACTATGAACAATAGAAAACAATCCATTCATACAGCATAATATACAGATGTTTTAATAAAAAAGATACTTGCAAGGAATCCACGACTTGGTATAATAGAACTATATGAAGAAAAGAACCATGATTATCATGCTTATCGTACTAATTATATTAGTAGTATTACTCATGATTACTAATACCGCACGCAACCAAGTACTTATGCGTGGAGCAGTTGATCGATTTACTAATTTTACCAGCATAAAACAACAAACCACCCCTACGAGTATTATCGTACCAAACGACCAAGTTGCACCAATAGATGTTGAATAAAAAACTTCGCATTATGCGAAGTTTTTTATTGGATGTATTATTTGTGAGCCAAATATTTATACAAGTTCATACCAATTACTGATCCGACAATTGGACCAACGATGTGTGCCCAGTTAAACGAATCTACTGCCAGTACTACCGCAGGGTTCAGTCCTCCTGCAGAACCGAGGAAGAGTGCGATAAAGATACCGATAGCAAGTGAACCTCCGATCATAACTCCAGACACACTGTCAGAATTTTTACCAAACACGATAGCTGCAATACCCCACGCAAAGAATATCATACCGATAACCTCTGCAATGAGGACTTTTACTGATGCGGCGCCTCCTAATAAGGTTACTGGCATTTCTGGATACATACCTTTCATAACTGCTACTGCCAGGAGTGCTCCGGCAAGTTGTGCAATGATATACCACACGGCGTCACGAATAGATATTTTACCAACTGATAATAGTCCCAGAGTTACTCCAGGGTTAATGTGTGCACCTGAGATACCACCAATACTGTATACCGTCAGCATCAGTACGACACCTGCTAATATTGGAGTGATTGATAAACCTGATTTACTGGCAAACCCCACGATAAGTGCGAGGAAAAAAGTACCAATAAGTTCAGCGATGTATTTTTTAGAATGTTGCATAAAAAATTATTTATTATTAATAACATAGATAGTATACCAAATATCTATAAAAAAATACAACCCCCTAATTCATATCAATGAACAGGAGGCTGAAAATTCTAAAAAACTAAATATTTAAAAATGAAAAAATTAACATTATTACTGCTATATTTTCTCTGTAACTATTATAGGATATTTTTATAAAATAAACAATAGTAAAAACAATATCCCAACAATCACTCGATACCAGCCAAATATCTCAAAAGATTGTTTCTGGATAAACTGCATGAGCCACCGTATAGAAAACCAGGTGACTATTGCCGCAACCAATCCCCCTACCAGCAGCAGCTGTACCTCTCTACTACTTGGTGAGTGTGAGAGTTTTAAGATATCCAGTACCGTCCCCGCAAACATCACCGGCAGTGCCAGGAGAAATGAAAATTCCGCTGCTGCAGTGCGCGAGAGTCCCACCGCTCGTCCACCGACGATCGTCGCAGCTGACCTGGATAACCCAGGGAACAGTGAGGCGACCTGAGCAAGTCCAATCAGGAGCGACTGTTTATTATCAGGGAGTGATGATGATGTCTCGTTTTGAATAAACAACCGCTCAAAGATGATAATACCGATACCTCCTATCAGCAGTCCGATAACCGGCATCCAGATATCCCCCAATGCGTGCTTTACCAGATCATGCAAGAAAAACCCAACTACCATCACAGGCAAAAAAGCGATAAATAACTTGCGATATATCTCCCATGAAACAAAAAACTTTTTCCAAAAATATATCGCCACTGCCAGTATCGCTCCGAGCTGGATTACTATTTGGAATGTTGTGAGGAACTCTGTCTGCGGGATACGCAGGATGTGCGATACCATGATCATATGCGCCGTCGAGGAAATAGGCAACAACTCTGTCGCCCCCTCTACGATGCCAAGTATGATTGCATGGAGAAATGTCATGCATGTAGTGTAGCAGGAAAACTAATAATATAAAAGGTAAAGGTTTATGCATAACCTTTACCACTATGACTACTATTAATAAACTAACAATATAGATTTAAGTTATTTTTCCCGACTGAATAATTTTTAATAATTCATCATGTAATAGTCCATTAGAGACTAAGCAGCCAACACCATTCTGGTCATACCTTCTTTCGTTTCCATCTAAGTCAGTAACCTTACCTCCAGCTTCCTCGGTAATAATTTTAAGAGCCGCGATATCATGACCATAAGGATGATAAAAAATTGCACCCACAAATTTACTATTTGATACCTGAATTCCACCATAAATAAAAGATAAAAATTGCATAACTCTACATTTATTTTCACCTAAAATCTTCATAGATGGTAAATTTGAGAAACCAATTGATTTTCCTGAGCCGTCTAGATTTAGATAAGTATTTTTTAAATTTTTACTTTTTGATACAAGTAGTTGTTTTCCATTTCTGTATGCTCCACCATTTTTTGTACCCCAATACATATTCTTTAATACAGGATCATTAATAACACCGAGAATAGGTAATCCATTTGATTGATCAACCAATGCTAAAGAAAATGTGAATATCGGCAAACCACTTGAAAATGGCATGGTTCCGTCTATTGGGTCACAAACCCAAATATATTTTGAGTTTTCTTTTAATTCACTTTGTTCCTCTCCATAAATACTATGTTCAGGAAAAGTTTCATTTACTCTTTTTATAACTAAATCATTTATTTCAGTATCTGCTTTTGTTAATGGAGTGTTATCTTCTTTCCAAGTATTTTCCACTTCAAAACTAAAATAGTTCAAAGCTATTTCTTCTGCTTCTTTTGCAAGATTTTTTGCGAATTCTAAGTAATTTTCCATAATTTGAGTATAACAAGTTCTTATATATTATCCAAATCTTTACTATTCTCAATATTAGGTTTTCGTGACAGAACTTTATCCCACAATAAAAACAGATATGGCACACCTATATTGAGCAAAAATAACGCTTCAAAAATTATAAAACTTATTCCACTAGGTCTGATTTTAAAAAGATATAGTGGTATTTCCATTATCAACGAAGCACCGACACCAATTAAAAATACACGTAGAACCGTAACAAGTTCTTTTCTATAAATAACCGCCAACAACAAATAACCTATTGTCACAGCAAGTATCATAGAAAGTAATTGCGTGTTCATGTGTCTTACCGCAATAACTACTGTGTTGTCTATTGGTAGTAACAATGAGAACAATGGAACCAATATCCACATGAAAAAGTAAACTGATGTATATTTAATTATCTTTTTGGTATCAATTGGAGTACTTCTCATACTTTCAAACATAATCCAAATCCAAGAGAAAGCAAACAATGCATACGAAATCGTCATCATAAAGTCAGCTCCAAATTTAAGCCAGAAAAAAGCTCCGAGTGGATGAGGCATAGATATGCCACCTATGGAGTATTCCCTGATAAATGTTCCCACAGGTAAACTTGGTCCAGCTGATGCATTCCACCAAATAACCGCATCAATAACATAAATAATAGGAGCTATGATAGTACTAAAAATAAGTGCACTTGTTTTTTTATTTTTAATAAGAAATATAATCCATATTATCAAGAAAACAATGTCAACGTAAATATAGTCATATTGAAAAAATCTTTGCGCATTAACAAATTGCTCGAGAAATGTCATGCATGTAGTGTACCAAGAAAAAACACAAAAGGAAATTACTTTTTCCTGTAGATCAGGTATGCCATATATGAATTGGTACAGATCATCACGATAGAGTGCAGCATGGTGGCTACATTGTACCTGCTGAGTGAGGTCAGTATCATGGTGTGTCGAGCAACGTTCATGTTATAGAGAGCGGGTTTTTCTGTTGATGGGTTGTGGTAGGCTTTTTTAAGCGTTGGGATAAACGCAATAAAATCAATAGTAACCACGGTGACTATTGACCATGTTGGGTCCTTGGTAATAAACCAGGGGATCAGTCCCAGCAGTGCCGCTAGTAAAAAGTAGTGGTCACTCTGCTTGATATGATCCATGTTACCGGTAAACAGATTTTTTAGAGAAAACAAGAAAATAATAATAGTAAACCCCTCGGCAATACCTACCGGGATGGCGCCTATACCTAATCCTTTTACGATACCACCTAACAGGGTTGTTGCCGAAACTATTGACCAAATAAACCATGTATACGGGTGGGGTTGTATTGCTCCCTTTATAACATCTCGTAGATACGAAACATTACCAATAATTGCGAGCACCGAAGCAATAACTACGATCAGTACTTTTATAAAAACAGATGTTATCATGTGGATATTGTAGCATGTAAGTTGGGAAAGGTGCTAAGATATATATTAAAATAAATCACCCAATGCGCATAGCATTGGGTGATTTATGTTAGGTTTTATGAGTATATGTTTTTTTTCATATCTGAGACGGTTTGTTTGATTACTTGTGCAAGTACACCCAGATCAATATCATCAATGTTTTTTATCGCCAGACATGATATACCAGTGAGTTTATACGTGCCGAGTTTTTCAATATGCTGTGCGTACTTTTTCCAGCCCATCATGTTATAGAGGGTAAAACCAGTCG